ATATATAAAAAAAATGCATAGGGGCAAGGTTTTTCTTTCTTTTAAAATAATGGGCGGCAAGTCTTCTCAAAGATCTACAAAGAGATATAAGAAAGGGAAGATTTTTAATTAAATTATGGCAGATAGGCTTTCATCAATCAATCTTAGAGATCACTTCCCTATTTTCAAGAGAAAGCCTAATTCCTTTTCCCAATTTAACTGCCCCTTGTGTGATTTCAACCGTGATGGTTAGTTTGATTTCTTCAGTTTGAACAAATCCCCTATTTCCTGCTTATTTCCTTTCTGAAAACATAGCCTGCGTATCCCTTAAAAGATGGTGCCTCTCTGGAGTGGAAACAATATCTTTGAATATATAAGAGGGATTTTGATCTTTGGCTAGCAGATTTTCAGAGATGTCTCTTCCTAGTTTGCCAGCCACTGCCCTTTTCTTTTAAAATTTCCGATCAACTCTGTGATAGTTGACATTGTTGACTTCTCCATTTCTGATGGTCACGTGGGTTCTTTGAAAGAATAGGCTTTAATCAAGTCTCTGATATTTCATTTTGATTCTGCGCTAGTGGGTTCTTCTTTTCTTTGCAAAAGGGACTTGGGCCCCCCTTTTTTTTACTAAAGGCTGGGTTCTTTGATGTTGGGCTGGGGCTTTCACTGTTTTTGAGCTGAATGTGTATTTATGGCCCAATTTCAAAGAGGTGTTTGGTGGCTGCCAAAACTGAGATGGGCTTTTATTTCCTTATGTTGGGTATGCCAATTTAGGCCCAAATAGCTGCTGGAACAAAAAGACCCCCTACAAGAGGCAACAATGTTATTGCGTGGATTTGATTAAAAAATGAGATAGTTTTTGTGTGCAACGTGTAGAATAAGATTTTTTTTTTTAAAAGGAAAAGCATATATATTTTAAGTATAGTTGGTTTTCTTTTTGCCAAAAATAGAATCACCAAGAAGCACTTCTTATAAAACTTCACCAAACACTTTGACTGCTAAAAGCACAGTAGAAACGAATTTTTTTTTTAAAGCACATTAATACCAAACTAGCCCTACGGGCTCATTTAGGATTGCTTCGTCTGCTCATAAGTGCTTCTAACAAAAATGCTTGTATTAGAAAAATCTTGAATTTTCATAGAAAAATCCAAGTGCTTCCTAGAAAAGCACTTGGGAATGCTTCCTGAAGAAGCACATAGTAGGTGCTTCTCCAGAAATCGCTTTTATGACCTAGAAACGCTTCTAAATTTTTTTGTCAAATGCTGTTAGAAGCGCTTTTAGTTGTCATAAAATGCGTTTAACCTTTCTAGAAGCACTCTCAAACAGGACCTCGTTTGGGTTTTTGATGAGTTTTTGGCTGAAGATTGGGTCTAAGAGAAGAAATAAATGCTGGAGTGGATCAAGCTATAGGCCTAACTAAATACACTTTTCCCAAAGCTTTTTGTTTGATCTTCATAGCTCGTGAAGATTTCAGTCGGTAAACCAAGAACGAAAAAGTCAAGGTCATGATGGAGCTGCGGGAAAGTCAAGCTCGAGATTAAGCTTGTCAGCGTCGTCAAGGCTAGAGGTGTCAAATGGGACGAGCCGACCCAGCACGGCACGAGCCCAGCCTGTTTAAATGAGGCACGACATGGCATGAGCACGAATAGTAATGGGCCATGCTCGGCATGGTACGATAACTTGGGCTAGGCCGGGATAAAAAATGAGGTCCAATGGACCAGACCGGCCCACGCCCCGAGCCCGCTTCAAGCACGGCACGAGCCCAAGCACGGCCCACTTCACTTTTTTTTCTTTCTCAAAAGTCAAAATGCAAAAATTTGACATCTAATATCATTGTTTATATGGTTTTTCTTTATTTTTTATAATCATAAACATATATTTGATGTCTTTCATTTTAAGGAAATTTCTTGGATCCTTAATTAATTAAACATATCAACTACAAATTAATTTAACAACATTGGACTTGATATCTAATCAGTACATATGACATATACGATTCTCTTATAATCAAAGCAAGACATTTCTTCACATATAAATAATAAGTTGTTTAAGGATAAAAGGTTGAAGTGGACTTTAAGGAGTTATACATTTTTTGCCCTCCGCCTTTTATATTGTTTGGATGTTTGATTGATTAATGTTTTCAAATAATTCATCATTTCTTGCCTCTAATTATATTTTTAATGTTTATAATTTGAATTATCAAGTGAAAAAAAATAAATCAAGTGAAAAAACTTTAAATTAAATGAGCTGGTTCTTGGGCCGGAGTATGGCACGAGCACGAGCACGGGCACAACACGAACACGGCCAGGCCCATTTCAATGTGGACATGGGCTTTGGGCCGGGCCGGGATCAATGATTTTACTAAATGGGCCGGCACGGCATGGCCCAATAAATTAAATGGGCCGGCCCGGTACGACACGAAAATGTTAAAAGCACGAGTTTAAATGGGATGGGTCGGCCCGGCACGGCCCGTTTGACACTCTAGTCAAGGCAGAGGGCATGTGAGTTCTGAATTTGGGGCAGCAGTGCGAAGGGAGAGAGAGGAGACAGAAAGGGTGTGTTTGTTGAAATAAAGGGACCAGAATAGTTAAAGGGGTTGTTTGGTATGCCTCACTATGCCTCACTGGACTGGATTGGATTACATAAGACTTGAATGGCAATGGAGAGGATTAACTTAAATGAGATTATATAGTCCAACAATTGAAAAAAGCCCGGATTCGCATGTCTAATTTAGCGAGCTCGAAATTGGGTTCACAAAATAGCACAGTCGCTATTTTGAACAGGTGAGTTCGGCTGGATTTCGTTATGGCTTGAATCAACCACCACAAATCCGATCCCCGAATAGGCAGAACCCAGCACCCATGCCCCCCTTAGATTTCTTCTTCCCCATGACCACCACCCTCAGCCATGCACAAACCCAACACAGAGAAGCCCAAGCCACTCGTAGAACATCTTTCTTCGCCATCCCAGCCACTAGCAGAACCCAGAACCATCTCTCTTCTCCATTCTCCAATCCCAATAGTACGTACCAAAAAAAAAAAAAAAAAAAAAAAAAATAAATAATAATAAACTAGAAACAGAGAGAAGAAACAAAGAAAGAAGTCGGAAGAAAAGAAAAGAAGAAGAAACTTGGGTTCGCGTATGATGCTATTCCTATTTTTATTTGGTAGTTTCCTTCTTGCTCGTGATGTTTTAGCAGCTTAGTTGAAGAAGAAGAAAACGAGAGAGAAGAATAAAGAGAGACCAAGAAGGAAAATAAGAATAGAATACTAGGAAAAAAAAAACACAAAAGCCTAAAAAGGAGAGAGAGGTGGCAGCATATTTTATTATTATTATTTGGTTTTTTTTTTTTTTTTTTTTTTTTTTTTTTTTTTTTTTTTTCAATTCACACGGTTGGCTTGTATAATTAGTTAATTTTAATTATTTATTTTTAGGTTAAAATCTTAATTATATTTAAATATTTAAATAATTATTTTTTAGTCCGACAGAGCACCAAACATAAGTCTTCACTAGTTTTATAATCCAGCTTCTTAGTCGGACATAGCACCAAACGTAGGTCAGTACTTAATCCAACTTAGTTCAATCTGAGCTAATCCAAGACAATCCTGGGATTTAATTCAGTCCATGACAGTCCGTTGTACCAAACGACCCCAAAGGGATATCCAGATATAAATTTGTTGATTAACTTTCTATTAAGTAGAGACACGTGTAAAAAAAAAAAAAAAAAAAAAAAAAAAAAAAAAAAAACAAAAAAAAAGAAGGGCGGGTATAAGGGAAATGGAAACATGGATTATCGAAAAAAAAATAAAAAAAATAGGTGTGGAGTTTCAATTTCATTAATTTACAACTGAATGTTTCAAGATTTAATCAAAATTTTTATTTCATCGTCTAATTTTGTATTAAATTGATAACGTGGCGAGTGAGAGACCACTTTTGTGATAATGTGTCAATAAAATAATAAAATATGAATATGTTTTTTTTTAGAAGAAAATAACTTTTAAAAAAGATTATTAAAACAACGATACCCGCCGAAACCATCCACCACCTCCTCCCACACCTCCCAGCCACCATTCCCAACGATACCCGATCACTTCTCCGACACATACCAAAATCAAGCTTAACAAAGCTATTGGGGACGTGAGATCCAGCTGGTCTTGAAGCCCACAGGAGGTACGAATGTGGAAATTGGCGACGAACTCGAAGGGTAGGGCTTGGTAGGCTGCCCAGCAGGACTCGGAGGCGTTGCGTGGGGGGTTCATATGGCAGCCGTCACATTGAATGCATTGAGAAGTATAGTCTTCTTCTCCAAAATTTTTTTGTCTCGGGTTGTTGCGGGTTTCTTTCAAAGGTTAGTTTCTTCTTTTTCTTAGTCTTTCATTCATTATTATTGGGTTTGATTGTCGTTTGCGGTGGCAACAAATATAAATTCATCTGGTATGTAGTGAGCTGGTGGGTCGATTAATAATTTGATTGTTGTATAATCTATTTCTTCTTTAATGCTTGCTGTTGTATATCGTCCTTTTAGTCAGCACTAGCATAACTACAGCTTTATATCATTTTCGCCTGTAAGATGTTCGATAAAATGTCTAGCTCAGATTGTGTTCTAGAGCAATGCCATTTTTGTTGTTTTTCAAGCAGAGAATTTGGGAAGCTAATTGCTAAGGTCGTTTCTCTTTTCTTTGTTTTTTTAAGGCTGAGGAAAGATGTAATTCTGTTCCAATTGTGGCATCATTAGACATAAATCAATATTTCTTATTTAAAAAAAGAAATTAATTGTCATTCGCCGGTCCCGGAATTACTTACTTTATTAAGTTCATGTATTTGATGGCTTCCTTCCTTCTCATATGACAAATGACAATAGTTGTTTTGCGGGAATGTTTTGTTGTTTATTCAAGTGTTGATTTTTCCTTTTGCAGTTGTACTGTTTGGGCACAAAGTCTTGCTCTTTAGGCTACCAAAACACACAATGTAATGAAATGTAAGAATGCTGCTGATCTCATCTATATTTACCAAGAAGGATCATGGTCCCGTTTTTTCTATTTGTTAAAGTTGGTGGGTTTGGTTTCTTCCGTGGGTGTCAGCACGGATTTAATTACCAGCACAAGCGTGGTCTTGTGAATGTGAAGTTGAAATGGGTGAAAGATAGGGGATTGGATGCTGTTGTGACCGCTGTGAGAGATCTCAAAGCTGCCTGTATTCTTGTTTCCATTATCTCATCCTCACCTCAGTGCTGCCTCCCCATATACCGTCTCTCTTGCCATCGTGGACAACTCAGTCTTCCTTGTGATCTGAAGCTCTCTACTTTTATTAGGAAATTTCCTTCTGTTTTTGTTGAGTCCCACACATTTTGGAGTGGAGGTGCTCGTGTCCCATGCTTTAGCTTGACTCCTGAAGCCCTACAACTCTACCATGAGGAACTCAATGTCCTTCAGGAGAATCAGATGGATCTCATTAATAGGCTTCAAAAACTGCTCATGCTTACCCAGGGTTGGACCCTTCCTTTACAAACCCTTGACCAACTGAAATGGGACCTGGGCTTGCCATATGATTACCAGGACTCAGTCATTCCACATCACCCTGACCTATTCTCTTTCATCCGCCTCCCCGATGACCGTGTTGGCTTGAAGCTCTTATCCTGGGACGAGGACCTCGCTGTCTCCCAATTGCAAAAGAATTCTGCTATACAACAGAAGGAAGAAGATGCAAGAAGTGGCTGTTTAGCTTTTCCTGTTGGATTTACGAGGGGTTTTGGATTGAAGAGAAAATGCATGGAGTGGTTGAAAGAGTGGCAGACCCTCCCTTATACTTCACCGTACTCTGATGCCTCTCATTTAGATCCTCGTACAGATGTATCGGAGAAGAGGATTGTAGGGGTTTTTCATGAGCTTCTTCAACTAACCATACACAAGAAAACTGAGCGTAAGAATGTGAGCAACCTTCGTAAACCTTTGGCCCTACCCCAGAAGTTCACTAAAGTGTTTGAGCGCCATCCAGGTATTTTCTACATTTCAAAAAAGTGTGCCACTCAAACTGTCATTCTAAGGGAAGCCTATAACCATCAACAACTCTTGCAAAAACACCCCACTGTAGATTTGAGGGAAAGATTTGCAAGGCTGTTAAGAAAAGGGCTCCTGGATAGGAGCAAAGGTTTATACAAGAAGAGTAAAGGTGATGGTGTAGAAGTAGATCCACATGTTGATGATATCGGTAATAACCAATCCAGTTCCGAAGAGGAGTCAGTTAACAATTTGTTTTATGAGTACGACTCCGATAAACCAGACGAACCTAGGATTCAGTTGTGAAGGGTTTTGGGTCCAGAGAGGACTAATATTTTCTGGACACCATATCTTGGATTAATCTCATGATCATCAGCGAGCTGAGAAGATGGGTAGCGGTGGATTCTAAGTACAAAGAACGTAATTGTGCAGTTGATTCTGAAACTGAATTATGATGATCACAATTAGGTTGATGAGTAAGAGGATGAGGATAAGGATGAGGATGAGGATGGTGGTGTAGTTGGTTGATAATACCATTGGTGGGATTGAAGATGAGTTTGGTATTACTGGTAGCAAATGTGAGTAAAAGTAAAAGGAAGATGACCATCAAATCTTCTAGCCTTATCCCTGTTTTCAAGGGCCCAACAAACCAGACCTGAGAGACAAATCAACACTTTATTAGAAACGAAGAAATTTAAATTGAACAAGAAAGTTGTGTGATCGTTTGAAATAGTATTTCTGTGAAGTGGATATTGGCCAAGAAGCAACAACAAGACGGTGTATTTAAGGTCTTTCTTACAACAGCTTAGGGTAGTCAAGAGTTGAATGAGTGATTAAGGATTTGTATGAGATGAGTGAAAGTGAGGTTAGAGTTATAATATATGGGATTTGGTTTTACACTGGTTATATTTTCCATTATTATTTCTGTTTATAGTTTCCATTATTATTTCGCTTCTCTTTGCTGCCACACAAAGTTGATTTTTATTTTATTTTTGTAAAAAATATCATGTTTAACATGACCATGGAATGTTGGAGACAGCAGTAACATCCCTCGTGAATTGTATCCTTTCTGCCATTCATCCTTTAACTCTCATATTAAGTTTGGCTGCATGCTTTTCCTTTTATCTTCTTTTGCTAACATGGTATCGTTTCTGCATCATTCTTGCTATGCTTTAATAGCTATACATATGCAAAATATGTTAGCTCATTCATTCTACTTTAGGCTAGGCTTATTTGATCTTTTTATGAATGATTCTCTTTATGGTAAAAATACGAGTTATTTAATTACTTTGTACACTAGTTTTGAACTGATATGATTTTACCCCACTGTTTTTGCAGTCCAGATTTTTCTTATTTTGTCTAACCAGTGGTCTTCTGCTGTATTGGTAGTCATTAGCTTCTAATTTTGATTTTCCTGGTCGTTACTTCAAGTGCCACCACCATGTGAAAATTGAAATCAGGACATACCAATTCATTAGTGCCTATAGAGACTCTAAAGAAAGGATTTACGCACGCGCTCATTACTGCCATGGCAGAAAATAATGTTGATAACTTAAATGCTGGGGAAATCAGTTATATATACACTGGTGATTTCCACTATTTTTGTTTCCTGATAGCTGTTTATATTCCATTTTTATGCTCTACTGTATTGAAAAAAGAGCAAAGCTATCATTCTTCTTTTCAAGATTGAGAGAACTGATTTTAATAGGGGTTAATGCTAAAGTATAAATAAATGGTTGGTTATCATGCTTCTGTTCTTTAAGTTTTTGAAGATATAGATTGATATACTTCATATGTATTCTGCAAGTTCGTATCCTATCAAGAGTAGGCTAAAATCTACTACATGCCTTGGAATCGGAAATTGAGTTTAATTCAATGTCATTGTCCTGTGTGGTGCTGTCTTAAACTCTTCAGATAGTTGTTATTCGGACATTTACTGATCAGACAGTTTCTTGTCATTAGACATTTACTGCAGAATGCAAAATTTTGTGCTAGCTTAACATTAGATTTGGACAAGTGATTATAATCCTCCATAAAAAAATTCATGGAGAGAAAAAGACCATGATGCCATTTTCGTGTTGCCATGAACCTTTTTTTTGTTTTTTGGTCTGAATGACAGTTTTTTTTGGTTTATTATCAATCACAAGGGGAGTACTGTGCAGAACATAGTAGTTGATAGTTACACTAAACCATGTGCTCCCATTAGGACAGATGTATAGTTTCAACCTGGTTTGTCATATACCAGCATTCAGTCATTCCACATTTCACTGAAATGGGACCCGTTGTCTTCTTACTCACCATAATGCGAAGTTCATTGGCAAGGTACGATTTAAATTGAAAATTTCTATTGGTTATAGTTTAAATGGCTCTGCTGATGATTAGATGTTTGATAGTGTCTAGCTCAGGTTCTGTTCCAGAACAATGTCATTTTCATCATTTTCCAAGTACAACATTGCGGAAAGCTATCTATTAATTATTTTTGTTTGTTAATTTGTTTCAGACCTGAGGAAACCATAGGAATCTGTTTCAGTTGTGGTATAATTACAAACTAGGCGTAGAAGGCCATGTAAGAGGTTTGCAACTGGTAATTCAAGAGCGAATCTATTAGAAGTGGATGGGCCTTCTCAGAACTCAAACTACGGATTTTAATTTAATTTTAGATAGAAGTTGCTTTCACTGAAGCTTTGATTCTTATTGTTTTGCTAAGATAGTGGCATTCAAGACTGCTATATGAAAGTCCTATGCAAGAACTGGGTTTTGTTCACTGTTATTCTCCCTTGTTTATTGCCTGGCTGAACTCCAAATTCTGCTGTAAAATGTTAACAACCTGTTTGATTTTGGATAAGTTATAGATATAGTAAATCTACATTAAAGGCTCTGTTTTAATCAATTCTTCATTGTAATTCAAAATATATCCTAACTCATAGCTCTTTGGTCATTTTGCTCATATTAAGACGCAATCTAGCATGTTAGATTTTAACTTGAGTTGCATGTACTTCCTCGTTCTGATGATAACTATATTTATTGAGTATCTCCTTTTTATCTTTGAATTCTGGACTCTTCTTACAAGTTAACTTTCACTCTTGTATGATTCTTAGTCATGAACATTACCAGTTTCATCGACTCTCACATTAGGCCCTTGCTGACCCGACTTTATCCTGATGTATATATATAGGGTTTAAACCATGTTTGATCCAGTCAGTTTTAATGAGCTCATGTTTTTACTTTAGGGTTGTAGTTTAGAAAGATAGTCCTCTACTTGTTTTTCGTGCTTTTCTTCATTTACACCCGTACGCATAGGCAATAAGCTCTTGCCTTCTCTTGAGTGGTTTTTCTGGGTTGTCTTGATTTCCTTTTGGTAGCGTGTAAAGCTAGCTGAAAATTAGTGTGTTACTAGCTGATTAATAGCTGTTAGTTGATTTTGTTTATATTTTCCTATTTTGTGATTTCCTATCCTGCCAATTATTGAGGATATAAATAAGCTAATTCAAGGGACACTTTGTGGGCCTATTCCGCATTTTATTTCAAGGAGTCGAATCGTATATTTTTCAAGTCTTCATTTATAGATTATTCTTTAAAAAATTTCGACAAATCGTAAACTATCGAGACATCTAAGTGTGATGAAATTTTTTTTGGCGAACGTGAATGGATGACAAGCAACTCTATAAAAAACTAACTATAAATAACCTACTATACAAAATTAGATGTCTCAGGACTCAATAGTTTGTTAAAATCCTACTATACAATTTTCTAGATGTCTCAAACGATATTTCAAAAAAATAAAGCCTCCCTAGTAGGTATACTCCACCGTGAATAGATGACAAGCAACTGTATAACAAACTATGAATAACCTACTATACAAAATTGTAGTGTAGTAACGTAGTACAACCACGTAGTATAGCTTTTCTATGTGTTATAATATAATATAAGTGGAAATTTATTGATACTATTTTTTAAAAGGGGAAGTATCAACCATGTTGTCCACTCATATTATAACATGAAAAAAGAAATAACACGATATTTTCTAATTACTTTGCCACTATAACAAAACATGAAAAATGAATCTTTTATTTTCCATCCCTCAAAAAAAGACATGGAAAATTGAGTTTCCAACCATTCCTTTATGTGAACTAAACATGGCGAAGAGGAAAGGGACATAAGCATGTTTGTAATGCCAAAGACATCGATGTCAGTGTTCAAACCAGAGACCATCTACATCTACATGGTCAAAGAAATCGCCCCTACCAATAATACGTGGATCAATTGAATTCGATATATAGTAAAGTGATCATCATCTGAAACCAAATTCAATACAGATAGACTTTGGCTAGAAGGAAAAAAAAATAGAGTAGAGTCAATGGTGGACATAAAGCATGCACATGAGAGGAGGTACCACCAAATATTTATTCCCTAAAAAACCGAAGACACAAAGGATTAAAGCCAAGTAGTAGGAAAGTACCACAAAGATCACCTAAATCACTATCATTTGCAATAAATATGAATAACTTGGAGAGAATGAAAGCCTTTTTTTTTTGGGTCTTTTTATTTGGTGCCAATCTCATGGAGTAGGTTTAAGCGTTGAACTTCGAAATAAAGAAGCATAGCTCTATGGTTTGAGTGGGATTTTGCCTCAGTATAGATGGTTCAAAGTGGCATATTTTCTCATAGACATGAGCTTAGCCAAGTTGGTTAGAGCAGATGTGCTCCCCACTCTGCACTCGAGTTTGAATCCCCTTCTCCATAGTTTGGATTAGATTAAAGTAGAATATTGTTTGTATAAAAAAAAATGCTTTTGAATAAAGTCAAAATGCAGAAGAGTATCATTTACGACTATTATATGTCAAGAACAAATATATGTTTTCTAGTAACCTTCAGCTGTCCAGACTTAAAAGAACCATCCGTTATTACCTTATCCATAGACTACTACCATCTGTTATTCCCTTATCCATGGTCTTGTAGATTCTTTAACTCCCCACTTATTCTAGTTCTTCTCTAATTTTAGTAAGTAGTAATTAACATGGATTTTTTTAAAGTTTAAATCAATACGATGATAAATTTCTTGTATAGAACCCCAGAAACTGAAGATGGATCATGTAAAAACATTGTTTAGGTAAAGGAGAGGACGTCACGTCATCAAACCCTAAACCTATTTTCCTTTAAACATCTCTGTCTCATCCTTCTTTCTTTACTCTAGCCTACTGTTAACTCAGTTCAAACACCGCTTATTCCTGCTGTAATAAGTCAGTAACTTCCACGTCTTAGAATGAGTTCAACATGGCTTTTATAGCTAGAACAAAATCATCTTGGTAGAAATCCTCAAAGCTGTTAAATATATATGTCAGGATATCCAATGCGAAGCTTTATTTCGTAAATGTCAAGTATTAACTACAATATTCAACTCCTTAATTGTAAAGCTGTATTTTGTATATCTCTTGAGTCTTCACTATCAAATTCAACCCTTTAAGTGTGTCTATAAGTGTAGATCTACAAGCTTAGAAGTTTAGAACTTAAACATGCATCTTGACCAAGTTTTTAATAAAGCTAAAAAGTTAAAAACCACTTCACCCTTTGACTAGCCACTGTCGAACTGTAATTCTGGAAAAAAGTCGAGGCCCTTTTACTCCATCTCTAATGTAATACATTGAAGAAATATACATGTTCCATGGGCATTCAATCAACTATTGATAAATTACTCAGTTAATGTTCTTAGGAACTAGTTCTATCTTTCTATGTTGTTTGATATCCTATTGTTTGAGCCTGGTTGAAATCCGACCATGCGGATTACTCGTTCCAAACTCCATCTCTAAAGATTGCTCGTTCGAATAGTAAATGTTATTTCATTAACAACATAAAAGGGTTCGCTTTCATACCTGTCCCTCCCTTTGATTGCTGTTGACGCAGAAAAATGGTTCTGTACTTTCCCGCGCAACTTAGTGATTAAGTCTCTTCGGTACCTGATGTCCTCGGTAGGGTGTGCGATCTGTAAGATGGCAAACACACGGTAAATCCTAGGGCACCGGTGTGGTACCGGCCGAAGGCTCTCCGATGCTTAAGTAAGTACGGATTTAGTAAAGTTGAACTACAGATCAATAGGCAGTATGCCGTAAGTTCTGATTGATTACCTTCAAGCTGGGATGGATGTCCTCTTTTATAGGCCTTGGGAGGTGTGCAATTTGCTTAGAGTTTCGATGTGGGACTATGGGCGTCAGTTGTGGGGCTGCCATGTGTCAGAGAGGCGAGATTGCCCTAATGTTGCCATCGGTAGGTCTGGTACCGAAGGCGAGTGCGGAAGGCACACGTAGCCCTGGTTTGGTCCACGTGCTTGGTATTCATTGGCTGTTCATTTTGGTATAAACAGGAGTCCCCCAAGTCCCCTTGCGAGAGTCTTCGGTAGGGGATTTGAAGTTATCTTCGGGAGGAAACACGGTCTTACCGTTCGGTAACCCCACCTGGGGAAGGGGCTAAATTTTGCTCCTTCCGGCATGACCAGCTCAGAGGCTGACGTTGGTGAAGTCAGGAGGTCGCTTCGATCTGACGGGCGAAGGGACGTCTGAGCGCTTCGACTTCCGCGCCTCGCGTGCCGTCAGTTCTCCATAGGGTGAGCGACACGTGGCGAAAGTGATGATGGCGCGCGGCGCATTAATGCGCCGTTTGGTTTTTCGAGGAGTACCGTTGCCAACCACTCCCCCTATAAATAGAGATGACCCCGGAGGCGGACTCACTTTGCATCTGGCGAGAAGTGAGAGCTCTGTCTGAGGCGATTTCCGACGAGGGCTTTCGGTAATCAGGCGATTTCCGGCGGTAGAAAAGGCGATTCCCGGCATCGCGAACGGTAGGAAAGGCGATTCCCGGCATTGCGAACGGCAGGAGAGCACCCTGAAGAGCGGATCGTACTTATCTTCCAAGGCACACGTTAAGGTACCGTTCGGTACCCTTCTCTTTAATTTGCTGCATGCCTTAAGGGTTACGTCCTTCCTTGGTTCGAACTAGACTGACCATAGGATTCCATTCGGTAGTCTAGTCGCCATAGGTAGCGATGTAGGGATCGGTAGGATAGCATCGGCATGAGCCTTAGTTTCCCTTTTCCCTGTTTTTGTAGATGTCTGATAGCGAGTCATTTTCCAAACGCGAGCCCAATGCGTTCGACGAGGAGTCATCAGACGGTCTCTTTGACTCCGACGGTGAAGCGGCAGGGCCTGATGCCGAGGGCGGGAGTGATACCGACGTCGAGATACTCGGCGAAGGGCTCAGCTTCATTCCAACACACGGGGTCGGAAAGGGGCTAATGACCGCTCCTGTCCCATTGTCTATCGTCTACAGTGACGGCCGCCACGTGGGCCTCGGTATGCCCGGAGAGGCGAGCGGTAGCCGTCAATCGGAGACCTCCACTTCCGGCCGTGGAGAGTCGGTAGCCAATCCGCCATCTGGGCCCAGGGTATCGGTAGTGTACCCAAGTAACCCTAGGATGCCCATGGGGGTGCCGAAGGAAAACCTATTCGGCGTAGACTACCTTGGGCCGAACAAGATTACCGATAGGGAGATCGCCAAATTACGAGCAGAATACCGTATTCCCGATTCGGTACGAATGAGGATCCCGGGCCCTACCGAATCCCTCAGCGCGCCGAAGGACGGCGAAGTAGTTTTCTTTACCGACGTCCTTGTGCAAGGCGTTCGGTTGCCGTTGCAGCCGGCGGTGCAGAGGATTCTAGCCCAGATCGGCTATGCCCCGGGGCAATTCAACCCCAACTTCTGGGTGGCTCTCATGGGAGTCATAACGGCCTTCGGCATGGCTGGCGAAGGGAGCCCCTCCTACGAGCAGTTCTCCCATCTGTACAGCATCACCAAGTCCAAGTGTGCCGATTATGACGGGTGGGTGCAGGCGAACTGCCTCAGGGCTGCCGATCGAGGCCATTTCGTTAGCTGGGTACCGACTTCACAGAAGTCGTGGAGGAATCGGCGGGTGCTCCTCTCGGGCGACTGGGAGTCGCCTTCGGGACAGCCCGTCTGATTTCGCATTCCCACAACCTTCCAAATGGCCGGTAGGACCACGTGCCGTTCGGTACCCTCTCTGAGTTATCTGTTTACCGTAAGTAACACTTCCTTGCTCTTCTTCTTGTAGGCAAGTTGAAGTAGCCGATCGCTATGCAGACCGAGATTCAGCAGGTGGAGAGAGTGAGGAGGAGAGTCCCTGCCGAGGAGAGGGTGTATCCGCAGTTCCTCTTCACCGCCAACTTGATCCGGGCCCAGCTGGTCGATCCTGCCGAGAGTAAGTATACTTCGTAATTTTTCAATTGTTTCTTTTCTTCTGTTGCGGTTTTTATCGATCCTTTTTCTCGCAGTGACGGAAGACAGGAGGGCTGCCGAGGCTAAAAGGATGAACGAGTCCTCGAAGCGCCGTCTCATGATGGGCTTCCAGGGGAAAAAGAAGAAAACCCAGCCGCAGGGCTCGGCATCGGTAGACCCCGAGGACCAGACCTTGGCCGACCGCCTCCGTGAACTCAATGCTGAATCGGCACAGGCCGGAGCGGCGGCGGCCGGCCCTTCTCCCCGTCGAGGCACCGCTACCGAAGGAGCTTCCTCCCGCGCGGCCGGCAAACGGCCCTTCACCGTCGACCTGGATGCCGAACCGGCTCCAAAACGCGGACGGCAGGCCGAGCCAACTCGGGCCATCTTTGCTGCCGAAAATGACGAGGAGCCTGCCGATCCCGTCACGCTGGCCTGTCCGTCGAAGACGGTCCAGTTTGCGAACCACATGATCATTGGTTCGCAAATGGAGCTGAGCGAGATCGAGGAGCTGCCGAAGAAGCTCCTCCGAGAGGAGGCGGGTCGCGCCTTCCGTCTTCAGGCATCGATAAGTCTAAAACATTTTTAGGTCCAGTTTACTGATCATTCTTGTAGCTTTCGCTGACATGCCCTTTATTCTGCAGGCTTCGATGGATATGTGGCTTTGCATGAAGCGGGCCATCAACGCGGCTGAGAAGGCGAAGAAGGCCTATGACAACGGCAGGGCCAGGGTTGCCGAGGCTGGCAAGGCTATCCAGGACCATGCGAACCTGGCTAAGGATTTGCAAGCTGCCGAACGGCAGGTCAGGGTATATGAGTCCAAGTTCGCAGATCTGTCGTCTGCCCTGGAATCGGCACAGCTGTCGGCCAAAGAGGCTCTGGAGGCAAAGGAGGCCGTTGAGGTGGCTCTGGAGGAATCGGAACGGGCCAAAGCGGCGGAGATTGAGGCTGCCGTCCAGGAGGCCATTCGGAAGTATCGCCACTCTACCGATTTCTCTACCTTGCTCGACAAGGAGGTGGGCTCGGAGATGGTAGATCTTATCTACTGATTCAAGCGGTACAATCCTGGGACGAAGCTCAACCTGAACTCTATTGGAAGGAGTGGAGGTGCGTCAGAGGGTCCTCCACACCGGTATAGAAGGGTATGCGCAGCGGCTGCACCTCCCTGTCCGGTCTGGACCTCTTGATGCGCTCGGTAAAGGGCCCGGGTCGAAGTTTTCCCCAGTCAGGGACCTAGGATCGGGTTCGGTCTTCCTCCATCTTATGGATTCTTTGGAAAAGTAATCGGATGGTGGGGTCTCGACTGGGGACGTCCTCGGAACCAAAGTCTTCGGAAGCTTTCCTTGCACTTGGTGATCTCGCCTTCGAATACTCCGGGGGAGCTTCCAAACGGTAGCTCGATTCGGTGTCCCTGGTGGGGATGTACTCATCGTCGGATTCCTGCGCCGAATCCAAACCCTGAGCCCTCCGAAGGGGCGATTTATCCCCCAAGACCCTCATCCGGGAGTCCCTCAAGTTGGCGTTTAGTCTGATTGGGGACCTATGCCGTTCGGCATCCTTTTTGTCGTTGATCCGATGACGACAATCGGTGTATACCTTCTTCGGTACGTGCGGTTGGCCCTGGGGTGCTGGGACCACCAGCTGCTTGGAAGGCGCAGGCGTTGCCTTTGCCCCCTGCTTTCCCTTCCTCTGCCGACCGGGGGTCTGCTGACTTTGGGAAGATTCGGTGGTCCGAGCGTTTTGTGTTTCTTGTTGGTTAAGCAACCGTTGGGTTTCGTCCACTTTGGACGAAAGAAGATTGTTACGTTCTTGGAGTTTTGCCATCTCCTTTCGGAGGGAGGTCATCTGAGCCAGAAGCTCCGCTTCGACCGTGGTCTGAAGCGCAGGTGGATTACCGAAGGGAGTGCTAGGGTGCAGCACGGGCTTGCTCCACTTGGCATACCGTACGGTAATCCATCCTCTGATAGAAACTGTGGTCCTGAAGTGGTTCCCATTTGTTTTGTTTAGGAATTGTAGGTTGATTGTTATCATTTCCCACAGACGGCGCCAAACTGTTGACGCAGAAAAATGGTTCTGTACTTTCCCGCGCAACTTAGTGATTAAGTCTCTTCGGTACCTGATGTCCTCGGTAGGGTGTGCGATCTGTAAGGCGGCAAACACACGGTAAATCCTAGAGCACCGGTGTGGTACCGGCCGAAGGCTCTCCGATGCTTAAGTAAGTACGGATTTAGTAAAGTTGAACTACAGATCAATAGGCAGTATGCCGTAAGTTCTGATTGATTACCTTCAAGCTGGGATGGATGTCCTCTTTTATAGGCCTTGGGAGGTGTGCAATTTGCTTAGAGTTTCGATGTGGGACTATGGGCGTCAGTTGTGGGGCTGCCATGTGTCAGAGAGGCGAGATTGCCCTAATGTTGCCATCGGTAGGTCTGGTACCGAAGGCGAGTGCGGAAGGCACACGTAGCCTTGGTTTGGTCCACGTGCTTGGTATTCATTGGCTGTTCATTTTGGTATAAACAGATTGCACAAAACCAAAAACGTTAGGATGAAAATGAAAAATAACTATAATAACGTATGTAGACACTCTTAAGCATTAGTTAGATCAGTATACGAAAGAGTAGGTCAATTACTATTATGACAACAACACACTTCCATAACATAATACGGCTTAAATTGCCTGACCTTTTATTTCAATGCCCTTGTAAAAGGTCAGCCTTTGTGCTCGTGACATCTTAAAATATTTTATAAATCTTCAATACTTAAACACATTCTGCAACATCCAGATCTAAAATATTTATTAGATTAAAAATTTAATTGTGGAATTACATTTTACCCTTAAAGGTAAGGGTAAATTGGTCACTTTTAATTTGGGAAGAATTTTCGAGAAATGAGTCACGGCATTGTGTAGAGCTCGCTCTCACGAGTTCGTAGACACGTAGTAGACCCAAATCAGAGTTTTAAAGAAGAAGTTGTGGTCAACGGAAGTGCATTGGCACAACCGTAAATTTGTTGAAGTTGAGTTTAAAAAAAATCTCTCTCTCTCTCTCTCTCTCTCTCTCTCCGTCGTCATTGCCACTTCCAACGGCATTTCCAGCGCCGTCCAACCGCCAAATTCGACGCCACAACTTGCAAAATACTCCTCTCCACCTCCTCTACAAGACCCACTAATTTTCCAGACCCGATTTCGAGCCGTGAAGCGACTGGAACGTGAGGAAAAATCGCAGTTTTTCAATCAAATAAGGTATGCTTCTTTATCCATTTTTCGTGTTCTAGCTGTTTTGATTGTTGGTTTGGATCGATTTGATGCCGTGAGTGTTCGATTAGAAACCTAGGTTTTGTCCAACATTGGCAGCGTTTTCCAGCCACTTCTTGACTAAATTGGAGGTCGGCCCAGTTATATAAGTTGCTCCCTTAGTTTCCCTAATCACGATAATATAGGTATCGTTGGGTGATTTGAGAAATTTCCGTCGTAAAAAATTTCTCAAGCCACCCACGCGCTGCAAGCGTGTGGGCCATGGTGTAATGGCCCATTGTGTTTTGTTTTGATCCCATTGTCATCCTGAGTACAATGGTATGTTTGGATTCGATTTTGGTTGCCATATGACAGTTGAACGGATTTACGCCTATTAGATGATATCCGGGTTCGATATGTTTGAACCCTTAGATCGACTCCATTTATGAGTATGTTGTTTCCCATACCTCTAGGTTTGTGTAGGAATTCACAGATCGGGAATCAAAGTCCTGGATACTTCGATTCAAGGAGTTTAGGTTTGAGTAATCGATAACCATCTGATTGTGAGATCGAGAGTAATCCGACCGCTCAATCGAGACCAAACCATTGGGAATGTTGTTTATTTTGGATGGGAACTCTCAGTTTGGAAATTGGAGGTCGTGGGCCCCGTGAGTCGGGGTTGACTGAAAAGGGAAGGTGACCAAACCATTGACCTTGAATCCATTGAAACCATCTTAACAGAAACTACGTATTTAAATCCTGGGAATTAGGGTTTTCTTTCTAATTTAAAGTTCGTGTTCGAAATACAATTCTTAAACATATCTGAATATTTCTTCAATAGGTGCTCAGGCTCCGGCCAGCCAGCAGGCGGGACCCCCACTGGGCCATACCAGCTTGGATTTTCTATGAGTGGAGTTGGTTTTAAATAAGCATTCTTTTAAAGTATAAATTTCATACATAAAAAGAGATTTTTAAATTTATATTTGTTTTTACTTGGATATGGGAAATAATGAAAGATTATGCATGTTTGCATGCGGAAATTATACGGGGTGTTATGGCACTATATGGAAGTAAATAAGAATTTCAATAATTTTTTTGGTGCATGCAGTATGTGTGTATATATATATATATATTGATGGTGGGCTGAATTGTGTTTATGCTTACCATAGTGTGTACCTCCCCCATTAATGTTACTCTAGATGTTTATTTTTGACACGCGGTAACTCTTTGGAGGCGTGTCAGGAATCGGCACCCCTGATTGGGTGTACCGAAGGCCTTGACGGGCTGTCAGCGCGCATATGACTTATTTCAGCCACACGTGTATTGAGGATTCTACTGTGCGTGTCTGGGGAGCAATAGTCCCCCAGTTGGACTGCGCATTCCCTAGCCACATGAGCATTGAGGATTCTGCCAGATGGTCTAGTAAAACAATCCCCGCATTGGATTGTTTTCCCCTAGTACATAACTATGGATGTGCGTGTTTATTTGTATAAAAAGGGATTTTTGAGATCAAACAGGTTTTCAAATCAAGCACGTGTTGAAGAGACTAAAAACCAAGACGAGAAACTCCCCCACACAACCGTCGCCACCGTAGGATTTTCTTTTCGTGACTTTTCTTCTGTTTTCGGCTTGTAAACTAACTAAATTCTTAGTATGCTCTGATATGCCCATGTAGGGTTGGTTTGTGGCCAGAGGCCATTTGTAATTGGCGTGTGCTTTAAATTGTGTGTGCTGGGGTTTGGATACTTTATCTGTACTCTTATTGCAGGTTTAAAAATTGGGAATGTTCGTTTTACAGGGGAGACTCTGCCTAAATTTTGGTAGAAGTTTTGACCTTTTTTGCTCTAAAGCGGGAAAAAGGGATTTATTTATTTATTTTATTTTAGTAAATGGGCTCGACATCCTGTGGGTGTCAGAAGGGTAGTAGGATTTGGCATGGATTCCAAGGGGAATTCGAGTCAGGTCCTGTCACATTCCATGACGCAATGTAGTCAAGTTACATAAGAAGAAAGTAAAACATATTTCTATTACAATCAGGCGTACAAAAATCTTCTTCATATGTTTCTCTATTCACCTTTATCGCTTATGTTGATACCGTGACTAATCGAGCAACTAGATAAGCAAGATTAGCCATGTGCCATGCTTTGAGAGGTCATCACCTTAGCCAAAGAAGCCTTGCCACAAGTCACAACTAGGGGCAATGTCACGAGTCCCACATTGGAAGACTAAAAGAGGTGAAGACTCCCCTTCACCTAGAAAAGAAAACCACTTTTTACTTAGAAAAGGGTCTGGACCTTTGGGCCTTGGACTCTTGGGCTTTGTATCTTGGACTCATGGGCCTTCTTCCTTTTATCTTTGGGTCTAATCCCCTTATATAAATGCAAACAAATATTATCATAATGAGAACATCCTTCTCCGTGGACATAGCCCATCATTCGGATGAACCACATATACTTTGTTTTATGCATGCTTATTCACTTTTCTTATGCTGAACGTCACTAGCTGCTAAAGGCCTTCACTATCACCCAACCTGCCGAAGGCCTTCACTGGTCATTAACATGCTAAAGGTCTTCACCTTTCACTTATCCCATCAAAGACACCAACCTATTGATTAACCCATCAAAGACGCCAACCTGCCAAAGGTAGTCACTTGCCTTGGCTCATGTCTTCACACATCATCCACCACTCCACATCTATCTCAGTTGAACTCCATTTTGGGTGTCAACAACTTCTTCAATAGTAACATCCACCATTGTTTTGGTCACTCTTTTCTCGTCGAAATCTCTTGTCATAATGATCAACAAGATACGAGTAAAATGATTAATAACATAAGCCATAAACAACTTAATACAACCAAAGTAAATTTGTACAATCTAAAGAACAATACAACTTAAGTACATAGAATGGGTGTGGAAGAGGAGAGGGGAATGGTGACGGTTTGGGGGTTAGGGAATTTATTAGGGTTTATTTGAGGGAGATTGCCTTTCAAAATGATTTTGGGAGGTTATTGGGCTATAGTTTCCTTTTTTTTTTCCTTCATCTTTTTGCCAATGTTTTAAAAGAAAAATATAAATGGACATGAACACCAATTCAAAAGTACTACCTTTTTCAATACCTTCTGTAGAAGGTCAGCCACTCTGCAAATGAATATCTTGAAATATTTTATAAATCTTCACAATACTTGACTACATTCATTCACGTGAGGTGACACCAATGAAATAAGAAGAAGGTAATCTATAGTTCTATTACAATTAGGCGTTCAACATTCTCTATAACAACTTCTCTTTTTCCATTTTATTGCTTTTTCTAGAGCAACATCTACCATTGTTTTGGTCACTTTTTTAACCTTAAAATATCTTCTCGTAATGATTAAACTTGTGTATTATCATATGAACGAGCTTCCCTCATTCCTTAGTCAATGGTGCATATGTTCCAATGTAAATTTCAACATTTAAATCGCCTGGTTTATTGGATCACAAAAAACTAAATGCTCCAAAACAACATTTTCATTGTTTATTGAAATTAAAACTAAGAGCTATGTATTGTTTAATCATTTACTTTGGTTGCGTTTTTTGGTATAATATGGTAAAGAGTTTTGAAGCCTTGTGGTATCTTATAAATTTGGTATTATAGTTTGGTGGCAATCCAGGAAAGTTAATAGTCACCCCGGTGTAATCGCATCCTCCACGACAACACTTGCAAGTCGACCTTTTTAAGTTAGACAATAAGCAAAATGAAATTCAAAAGTTTGGACCATTGATCTTCCCGTCTTCTTCTTCTTTGATCCAACACCTAAGGACACTACCAAAAACAAAATAAACAACACAAAATTATATATAAGATCGAAAGAAAGAAAAAGAAGAATGAAAATACATGGCTAGCGGAGATGTGTTTTACCTCCTAAAATATTGGATGCAGGGACATGTGAGCATCCCTAAAGTGGCTCATTAAAGGAGCAAAAGCCATCTCCCCTCCCATCACCTCCCAAGTGATTGCAAAATATGGATTTAGGTAGGTGGGAACAAATCCCCCTAGATAAACGCCAATCCGACTATAAACGTTGTGGAGGTGATTTATTCCGCTACATTCCCTCACATGACGTGGCACCAGTTACATAAGAAGGAGGTAATATATAGCTCTATTAGAATTGGGCA